GGTGGGGCTTCTCACTGTTGTGTTGTCCTGGAGCCTGTCCCAGCGTTGGCGATTTATGTTATCACTGGACGGGACTTGAACCCATGCTGGCTGGTTCCAAAGCCAGTGTGTATACCTCTACACCACCAGTGACTATGAGTTGTCCTGCACCATAGGCGTATTTGACATTTACTTTCGGGGTTTCCAGGGTAAAAATAACCAAGAGTTGGGTTTGAACCAGGGTTGCCTGGACCAAACGCCGGGGCGTATACCTCTACACCGCCAGTGACTGTGACTTGTCCTGCACCATAGGCGTATTTGACATTTACTTTCAGAGAAAAAGTATCCAAGACTTGTATTTGTAGACATAACCAAGCGGGGTTTGAACCAGGGTTTCCCAGACCAAACACCAGCATGTATACCACTACACCACCAGTGACTGTGACTTGTCCTGCACCATAAGTGTATTTGACATTTACTTTTGGGGTTTCCAGGGGAAAAAAGGAACTCAGTGTTGTATTTCCAGACATAACTGAGCGGGGTTTGAACCGGGGTTGCCAGGACCAAACTCCAGCATGTATACCTCTCCACCACTAGCGACTGTGAGCTGTCCTGCGCCATAGGCGTATTTGACATGCACGTTCGAGGGTTTCTAAGAAAACTGGTGTCAAATTTTCAAACAGCACTGAGTGGGGTTTGAACCCAGGTTGGCTGCTTCCAAAGCCGGCGTGTTTTCCTCTACACCACCAGGGACTGTGAGATGTCCTGCGCCATAGGCATATTTAACACCAACATTTTTTCACAGGAAAAACTTTCACATGTCACTGAATGGGGAGTAACCCTACGCTGCCGTCACACAAATCCAGTGGATGTTGTCGACTGCAAATTTCCCCAGTGTGGTACAAATAAAGTTTATCTTATAGCATTTTTAGCTGGAAAAAAAACGACCATGTATAGTAAGTTATTTTTAGCCGAAATAAAACCAATCAGGAAAAGGAAAATAAAACCAGAGTAAGGCATTTTTTGCCCCCAAAAAAACAACCATGTACAGTCAGGCTTGTTTATTTTCTGGTCAAAAACGCCTTAGTGTACACGGTCATTTTTCTCAGGCTTAAAACACCTTTCAAGTTCAACTTTATTGTCAAATGTTTCTTTCCTCACAAGTGGTGCTGGTGCCCCACACCACCATCAAAGAACAGTAAACATAAATACAATACATAAGACACAAACTCTTAATCCTGTATACACTTTGTTTGAAGCAGTAATCGGTGAAAGAAGTGAATCAAAGTGTCCTTTTCACCAGCGGATCAACGACGTCATGCTGAAATGTGCGCACGTCTGCTCCAAGCGAGTTCGAAAGCGACACGAAGCTGTTGCATCCATGAAGCAGTTCTCGATGCAAATCCGCTTCAATTCCAAGCCGCCACTCGCAGTGCCACAGCCGCGCTGACTCTTTCTTCTCATCGTCAGCTCCCCAAGCCATGCATGCATCCAACAGCGCCGAGCAAAGCGGGGATGTGAAAATGCTGCCCATGACAGGCGCAAAACACAAACGCCTCCGGACTGTTCAGCGTCGACATTCCTCCCAATCAAAATCAGTGCTGGTACACACGTGCTGTCGAGAAGGCGCAACCACCAAACAGATTCTTCATCTTCAACGAATGTCATGGCCAAAAATGCTGAAAACAATCCACAGCAGGTCCACACGACATAACACCACCATGTGACTAAAGACAAAAACAAAACAAAAACACAAGGCTCTTGAGCATTTGCCGACAGCTGCCTGCTCAGGCGCCATCATAGGAATAATAATGGTCGTTTTTTTTGGGGGGGGGGGGGGCTAAAAATGCCTTACTCGACATGGTCTTTTTTGGCCTTATTTACATTTTGTTTGAAAACGCCTTACTATACAGGGCTGCTAAAAAAAAAAACACCTAATCAGGTTTCGTAGGGGTCAATATCCATAAAAAAAAAAAAAAAAAACACACCTGACTAGCATTAATCTTTTTTCGGCCTTAAACTATTTTCTTAAAAAAACGCCTCACTATACATGGTCATTAAAAATATTCAAAACAAAATGCCTTTGTAGACATGGTCTTTTTTAGGCTTTCTGTCAGGATTGTTTTCTTTTCAAATACCTTACTATACTCAACGTGCTTCGCGAAACATCTAAATGCATGAAAAAAATATATATTAATGAAGACATTCGCAGAGCAGGGAGGACAACATTTGAAATGACTAAGAACATAGCGCACAGTTAGACGGAAGCACATTTGCAACCAAAAGACTTTGCAGTCATTGTACGCATGCTTGGTGGCAGGCGCGTTTAAAACCATGACCATGTCGAGTCAGGCATGTTTTAAATCATTGTCATTTTTCCTCTCAAGTCTGCCGCCACGACTCAATTTTCTTCGACGGCTAGGCTGTTGACAAACAATGGAAATGTCTTTGTAAAGTGCTCGGCGGCAACCTCTCTTGTGACATGCCACTATTGAAAGATATTGAAAGGTGATGAGGCCTCCAGGAGCTTCCGGGGCCCAACCCGGCTCGCCGCCGCCACCGCCGGATGTTCCGTCGGCTCAGTACGACCTGAGAAAGCGCACAACCAACAATGAATGCAAACATGCAAGGCTAAATGATGGCTAAATTAGCCCTCAAAGGTCCTTAAAAGGCCCATAAATAAAAAGGCAGTGGAAGAGTGGGAACCCTGATGGGATCAGGGCGTTTTGGGGGGAGTTAGAGCGTTTTATTGGGGTCATGGCGTTTTGGGGGGAGTTGGGGCGTTTTAGAGGGGTCATGGCATTTTGGGGGGAGTTAGGACGTTTTAGAGGGGTCATGCCGTTTTAGGGGATTAGGGCGTTTGGGGGGGGGGGGGGGG